AATACAGCATATCGGAATCTATGGGACACAATGAAAGCAGTCTTACAAGGGAAATTCATAGCAGTGAATACTCATATTAGGAAAACAGAGCAAGCCTAGTTAAACAACCTGATGCTGAACCTTAAACTTCTAGAAAAAGAAGTGCAAGACAAACCCAAAGCTCATACAAGGGAGGAAGTTATAAAGATCAGAGCAGAAATCAATTCAATGGAGACTAAGAGAGTGATACAAAAAAATCAATGAAGCCAAGAGTTGGCTCTTTGAAACAATAAACAAAATTGACAAACCCTTAGCCAACCTTATCAGAAAAAAGAAAGACCCAAATCCATCCAATTAGTAATAAAAGGATGAAACTACAACAGACTCAGCAGAAATCCAGAGGATCATCAATACCTACTTTGAGAAACTATACGCCAATAAGATGGATAACACAGAAGAAATGGAGATTCCTAGATATGTATGAATTATCAAAGTTGAATGAAGAAGACCTAGACATTCTAAACAACCCAATATCAATCAATGAAATTGAAATCGTAATTAAAAACTTACCAACTAACAAAAGCCTGGGTCCTGATGGCTTCACTGCCAAATTCTACAAGACATATAGAGAGGAACTACTGCCATTACTGTTTAAACACTTCAATGAAATTGAAAGAGAAGCAGTACTACCGAATTCATTCCTGGAAACAAATGTCACCTTGATCCCCAAAGCAGAGAAAGACCCAACAGAAAAAGAGAACTATAGGCCAATCTCACTAATGAACATAGATGCCAAGATCCTTAATAAGATACTGGCAAATAGAATGCAGAAGATCATCAAGAATAGGGGCTGGGGATTTAGTTCAGTGGTTTCACTGCCTCCTGTGCAAGGGCAAGGACCTGATTTCGTTCCCCGGTACCAAAAAAATCCCCACAAACAAACAAACAAAAAGAAGATCATCCATCCTGACCAAGTGGATTCATCCCAGGGATGCAGGGATGGTTCAACATATGCAAATCAATCAATGTAATATATTATATCAATAGAGCCAAGGACAAAAACCATACAATCATCTCAATAGATACAGAAAAAGCATTTGACAAAATCCAACATGCATTTATGATAACCCTACAAAAATTGGAATAGACAGTCTCTACCTCAATCTGATAGCCATCTATGAAAAACCAACAGCCAATATCATACTAAATGATCAAAAACCATAATCCTTCACACTAAAATCAGGAACAAGACAAGGATGTCCACTATCACCACTCTTGTTCAATATAGTT